CAAATAAATAAAATAAAAAATAATAAATAATTTTAATACAACAAGATTTAACTTATTTGGGTAATCCATCTGGTATAGTTAATTCAATCTGTCTGGAATCTGGCATAGCTAAATCAATTTGTTTAGAATCTACAAAATATTTATCACAAGAGTGGATATTAATAAACATTGTTAATTTTAAAAATTAATAAAAACAAATAATCAATGATTGAATGTTAATAATTACCATTATTATTACCAATAATTGTTATTTTATTGGAATTCACAGGTTGGGGAAGGTTTGTAAATTTTAATAATCTGCTAGTATAAACTGCATTTGGATGAATTACTGCAGTAATTGTTGAAGGATCAAATTTTATTTTATCCATTTCATCAAACTTTCTTCTAATTGATTTTAATTCATCCTGCTGTTTTTTTGAATATTCATTATATCTAGTATAATCCATTATATAATTATGCAATGAGTCAAACCAAAAACAAATAATCTTTTTAATTTCTTCAGCAGTTGGACGTTTATCTGGATTAGCATCCATGCATCTAAATGCCAATGCAATATAAAATTTTGGAGTATTGTTTGAGAATCTAGGTCTTGCACCTTTACATATTTTCACTGCAAGATCTAGATCATGCGCCAAATTATTAAATGGTTGTTGACCAGTTGATATTACAGACATCAAAACTCCAAAACTGTATATATCTGATGCTCTTGTATATGGTTTCTCTTTTAAAACTTCTGGTGCAATATATGGTAGTACTCCACATATATCATTTTTGTTTGATGATGATGTTTGACTATCTGGGCATGATAAACCTAAATCTGCAATGAATGAATACTGTTTTCCCTTTTGAAAAATATTACCACTATGAAAATCATGATGAATAATTTCTTTTTCATGAATATCTTTTAAACCACTAATAATTTGTTTAAGAATATTAATTTTATCATTCCATTTTAAAATTTTAAAATCTTTAGTTAAATAATTTTGGAGACTTCCATCTTTCATATAATCCATTACAAAAATATATTCTTTTGTAATTGGATCTTGTGTTAATCCATAAATATGAATTATATCACTTTTATCATGAAGCTTTATATAATTTTTGAACTAAATAATAAATAAAATATTTAATTATAACAATAATAATTGATAATATCTAAAAAATCTGAAAATAAATAGAAGAATAAAATAATTTACCTCATTAAGAAATTCATCAGAAATATTCTGTGAATTGTGTAGTTTTTTTAATGCCACAGGCATATCCTTGCTAGTTCTTTTATTTCTACTATTAACTTTCTGGCCATTTAACCAAGTAGCTTTGAATATAGTTGCAAACCCACCTTCACCAATCTTTTCAATATTTGTTAAATCATTATAAGGAATTCATTGAAGATAATCATAATTTCTATATCTTGTTGCTTTAAGTTGTGTACTTTTAATCAACTCATTTAATGTTTCATTGTCACTAGTCCATCCTTCAGTTAATAGTTTTTGATCACATGATTGACACCATGAATAACTAGTATTATATCTATTGCAGGTTGGGCATTCCCCATACTTTTCACCTCTTTTCTTTGAATATTCATCATTTTGAAAGCCTCCATCTTCCATGTAATGCATTACAGAGATATATTCTTTTGTAATTGGATCTTGTGTTAATCCATAAATATAAACTTTATCATGAAACTTTGTATAATTTTCAAACTAAAATAACAAATAAAATATTTAATCATCATCATAATAATAATCAATAATATTTAAATATCTAAATAATTCACCTCATTAAGAAATTCATCAGAAATATTCTGTGAATTATGTAGTTTTTTTAATGCCACAGGCATATCCTTGCTAATTCTTTTATTATTATAATCTACACTTTTATAACCATTTAACCAAGTAGCTTTGTATATAGTTGCAAAATCACATTCACCTGTCTTTTCAATATTTGTTAAATCATTATAAGGAATCCATTGAAGATGATTACTATAATGATATTTATTTGCTTTAAGCTGTGTGCTTTTAATCAACTCATCCAATGTTTCATTGCCACTAGTCCATCCTTCAGTTAATAGTTTTGGATTGCATGATTGACACCATAAATTCCAAGTATTATATCTATTGCAGATTGGACATTCCCCATGTCTTTCATTTCTAATATATGGATCTTCATAATATTGAAGACTTCTATCTTTCATGTATTTCATTACAAAGATGTATTCTTTTGTAACCAGATCTTGTGTTAGTCCATAAATTTTCTTTATAAATGATTTATCATAAAATGTAACATAATTTCTGAACTAAAAAAAAATACATTGAATTTCAGAATAATATTTAAAAAACCTGAAAATAGATAAAAAAATAAAATAATTTACCTCATTAAGAAATTCATCAGAAACATCCTGTGAATTATGTAGTTTTTTTAATGCCACCATCTTATCTTCACTAGTTCTTTCATCATTAATTACATACTTATAACCATTCAACCAAGTAGCTTTGTATATAGTTGCAAAACCACCTTCACCCATCCTTTCAATATTTGTTAAATCATCATAAGGAATCCATTGAAGATGCTTATTATAATGATATGTAGTTGCTTTAAGTTGTGTACATTTAATCAATTCATCTAATGTTTCATTGCCACTTGTCCATCCTTCAGTTAATAGCTTTGGATCACATGATTGACACCATGAATAATTAGTATTATATCTATTGCATGTTGGACATTCCCCATAATCTTTATCTCTTTTCTTTGAATATTCATCATTTTTGTCAGTAGAAGTATCGTCATGATGTTTATTTTCATCCAAAGTGTTTTCCATCGTGGTTTTTGTATAATTTGTCAAAAAAAATTTTTTTTCAGCCACAAACATGTATATATATATATATATCTAAAAAAAAATTAAATTTCACCTGGACTACAACAATTCAGCATTGACACCCTAAAGTCGTAAAACTGTAATAAATCTTGCAAGCGCGCGATCTGGATTATTGGGAGCCACCAAATCCGGCAAACTAAATTAAAATCACTATATACAACTATACTGCTTGATTAGAGTTTCTATTCGAATAAGGGTTTATTCGAATTATTTGTTTTACTCGTTATGAATTTGAGTATTCAAATTACATTGAAAGTTTATTCGAATAAAATGAATAACGATAATTCGATAATTCGATAATTCAAATAAGACAAATAAACGAATAATTCAAATAAAATAAATAATTCAATCGATAATTTAAATAAAACAAATAAACGAATAATAATAATTCAAAAAATTCAAATAGTTCGAATAAAACGAATAAAATGTATAGTTCGAATAATTCGAAATAAAACGAATAATCCGAATATTTCAAACAAAACGAATAAATGAACAGTTCGAATAAAACGAATAGTTCAAATAAACGAATAAACGGATAGCTCGAAATAAAATAAATAATTCAAGCAAAACGAATATTCAATAAATGAACGACAACAATTCAAATAAACGAATGATGATAATTCGAATAATAAACGAATGATAAAAATTCGAATAATAAACGAATGATAACAATCTGAATAAACGAATGATAACAGTTCAAATAATAAACGAATGATAACAATTCAAATAATAAACAAAAGATAACCAATTCGAATATTAAACGAATGATAACAATTCGGATAAATGAATGATTTGAATAATTAGAACAAAAATTTGTAGAAACTCTACTCCATTGCAGAGTCCCCAAATCTGGCCAATAATGTTCAAACTAAATTAAAATCACCATATACAACTAAACTACTTGAGGCGCCCCTACAAGCAATATAGTAAAACTAATGAAAGGGTTCCTAACTAATAATTAAATGTTGGCCAAACCATTAATTAACAGAAAGGGTTATGAATCAATCAATCATGCCAGATTTATTAATTAATTACAGTCAAGGACTATTTTTACAAAAGTGTTATTTTTATTACCAAAGTTCTAGGATTGAAAGATCAATTATTATTAATTTTTTTTCACTGAAGGAGATTTCAAGCATATTTATACTTCTTTGAAGTACTACAAATAGCATGACTTTTTTACATTGATTTTGTCCAATAAAATAAAATAAAATAGAATGATAAATGATGACTAATTGACAATTACTAAAGTTAAATGTCAAAAATGTGTCATTGATGATATCATGATTAAATGATACCTGACAAAATGTTTTCGTGACAAGAAATTATTTTGTCATAATTAATTAAAAATAATAAATTTATATTCATTGAAATGTCAGATGGTTAACTCAAGTGTTGATGATAATTTGTCTTCCTTGAGAATATTATTAAACAAGAAAATCATGAAATATGGCAATGTGACTCTGGACACATTTGTATTGCACCAATTCCATTCAATTCATTGACAGCATAGAAGACTTTGATGAACCTTTCTTTGAAGTCAACACAGGTTTAATAGGACAGGTTTCTAGATTATTTTTGCAGGAAAATCAATTAATTAGCTGAATAAGTCCTGTGCTATGAGATAAATATCTTTTTGACCGATTAATCATTGATCAAATTGACTGATTATTGAAAATTTTTCCTTTTATTTTATCAGATCAACTCACTTATTTTGCTTATCAAAAAACTATGCTGTCGATCCAGGATTAAAAGATCACGATTGTTATATTTGTTGTCCATCATATTTAAATATTTTTAGTTCTCAAATTCATACTAAAAAATAAATAATTTATGAGGAGGAAGTAAAAAAAGGAGTATTGCTTGAAAACATTTCTTTAAATGAAATCTCACCAGAAGTTCAAGATGCTCAAAATCTCAATGATGAATCTAACTCATTACAGCAAGGATGCAATGCTTAGAATAATAACTCAAACATTAGTAAAGATTTGGATAAAATTGATAGATGTTTAGATAAGACAATAACACCAATTCCTGACGAAAATATCACGGAATATGTATTTAAAAATGGAAAATACTATAATATTAATATTACTAATAAGGTAGAAATAGTTGGTTGTATTACTTAAAGTAGTTTCTTTCTCCAAAATCACTTCTTGAGTTAGTATACCTAATTGATATATATTCCTCTGTCGTCAATGCCAAGCTAAAAGATCATCTATCAATTAAATTGTCAACATCATCATCCCTGATCACTTGCAATATTTCCTATTAAAGTTGCGGCATTTTCGATTTGTGCCTCATAATCTGAAGGAAGAATACCAGTTTTCACCAGCAATAATTAATAGTAACATTTTCCCGGGCCTATTTAACAAATTTTATTGCCTTTTTAATATTAATATTAATTTCTTGTCAAAAACTTTAATTTCCTTGCAATTAGTCTGTAAGATAAAATATAAAATAATTTAAACTCTATTTCAAAAATAAAACATCATATGGAGGAGGTAAGCAATGAATGATTTGTTAACTCCAAATTATTAAACTACGGGTCAGTGCATTGTCAAACGATAGTATATTTCTATTTTTGTCTAATTCATCAATGAATATATATGTAATACGAATCTTGCCATGTTTTTGTGCCAAGTCTGTGTTTTTTGATTGAAGTTTAGTAGACATAACTCACGTTTTTGAAACAATATACCCACATTTTTTTAATAATGATGATGATGATGTTGATTGTTGAGATATGTTACATTTGTGTAGGGTTTAAAGAAATCATTGGTTAAGAATTAATTGTTAATTAAAAGAAAGTTTCATCTTTATTTGTACATTCAGAAATTTAAAAGTTGATGAATTCATTTTGATAATCAATTATTATTATTATTTGATTAAATTTTTATGCAGATCAACGTGATAGACCAATCGAAATTTTTTAATATTTTACTCGCAATAATACTAATCTATTCATAGAAAGATCTTCAACCATGATTTTTTAAATTTGATTTTATTGGTTTTATTGGCCAATTCGTAAACAATTAATAAATTGAAGTTCGTTGAAACAAGGAAATTCGACTGTATGTCTAACTAAAATTTGTAACGATATCATTTTTTATTATTCATTTATCCGTCCTATCCATTCACTAATATTTATTTAATTTTATTGGTAAAAATAATAATTATTATATTGAATCATGAATATGATATTTCAACGAATCGTAATTTTCAAATAAATTTTGAACAACCTTACTACCATACAAGATCACTTCATATAAGAACATCATACGTCGGTAACCAATTACTATCAAGCTTATAGGAAAATAATATTTTAGAAAAAACCGCCATGTTCCCGACAGGGTTCTTGTATCGAGGTACGACCCGTGTTTGGGTCATTCACTAATACTAATGATTTTTTTCAAGAGTAACACAAACACCGATTTGTGAAATAACCTTAGATTTGGAGAAACTGGTTGTGATGATGATGAACCAGAGCCGAATAGATGAATTTAGACAATTAATAAATTTTTTTTAATAATGTCTAGGTGGGCAATTGTAACAACGATCCATTAAAACCTTTAAGTAAGCATAAATTAAATTTTTTATTTATTTTTTTGGGTGTGTATATTTATAACATGTTGTGGTATTTTAAAATTTTTAAATTAAATTATAAATTATTATATCTTTACATTATATTTATATATACATATATTATTTTAAATTTTTCTTCCATAAGTTCTATAAACTTTGGCATACGTTTTATATTTATTATATTCTAAAGGAGCTATTTTTACTTTCTTCTCTATCAATACTTCTTCTGGTATACGCATAAAATCAAGAAGACCCGACAATCTTGCCGAATATAATTCATCAAAAGTTTTGCAAAACTATATATTATATAAATAATATTCAATTAAAATCTAAAAAAAAAAAAAAAAAAAAAAAGAGATTCTAAATAATAAAAAACTCACAAGTTCTCCGACATAACCTCCCCAACTCCCTATCGGTATACCTTTACTATTTATTCCAATATCAGTGACCTGATTTGTGTTTAACAACATCTTTTCGAGTTCTTTATTTATTTTTGTATGAACCCCAGACGATCTTAAATAAGCCACAACTATATATAAAATTTCAAGAAAATTTATTTATTAGATTAAGTTACAAGCGGGTCATTTTATTTATATAAACGATATCGAGTAATACTTACATAATTTGCTTAATTCATCCATAACCGGTCCCAAAGAATTTGATCTTGGATTTCTTTCCTAATTTTTGATTGAATATTAATAATTGATATCAAATATAATAATTAAACTATTGCATCACCAAAAAATAAAAGACAAATACCATAAATTCCATCCAACCATTTGGTTTAGTGACCCTTACAATTTCATCGATAACAAATTTCCATTGATCTTTTTGAATCGAAATCATCATATTACTTTGATGTACATAATCGAATGTATTGTCGGGAAATGGTAAACCGTCAAATATATTACCCTTGATAAATGCTAGATTTGGTAGATCATCGCCTTTTTTGAAATCTATTATATCAAGACCGATGAATGATGATTTTGGATACAATTCTGCCATGCTTGTTATCCACGATCCTGTCCCAGATCCGATATCCAATACGCACATATTGCTAGAAGTTAATCTGTCTTGGATGGGGGCAGAAAACTTTCCTTTCCATATGTGTTCGTATAATATTTCTAGTATCTCCATATTTGTCATCGACTAATAATTAATTAAATTTAATTTAATTAAATTAAATTGATATTTTTAGTTTAATTAATTTTAATTTAATATTTTTAATAATACTTTATTTATAAAATATTTACCCTTTCATCAACTGCTATTATTTGACAAGAATTTTCTAAATTGATAAACAATCTACCGTCGATAATTTTAAATTCTTCGCACAACGAATCTATTCCGTCTAAATCGTTTTCATTAAATGAATATGAATGTGAATCTGTTGTACTTTTATCATCATCATTGTCACAAAATAATGATCTTTGGAAAGTTTTTTGATGAAGTGAATTATTACTATTATTATTACTATTAATTTTCATTGTGTATGATTTGTATGTGATTTAATAACAATTATTATTATTAGTGTTATTATCAGAGTGTTGTGATGAATTTTATCATTCTTCGTCCATTTTTCTGTTCTTTTTATACAAAAAATTTCATCCTTCTTTGTCCTTTAAGAGTTTCTTGAGTAACAAATTGAATCGTTCGTAATTTATTACATGAACATTATGTAATTATTTAATATTAAACATAATATTTCCTAATCGACATACGGAAAAAATAAATTTTTATTTGTTCTCAAAAAAAAATTTTTTTTCGTACAAATGATGATAATCACCACTATATTTACTTTAGTCTATGGTATGTGCTTTTTATATTATCTAATATTATATAATAATAAACTTTATTTTTTTTTTTCAAAATAAAAAATAAATAAATAAATAACTTCGTGACCATAGCATATGTTCGTGAAAATCTTGGAATTGAACACCGCATAATAATGATTTTCATATAAAACATTACGGCACGGTAAAATCTACCTGTAATATTTGGTAAGATTGTTTAAAATTTTGGTTTGTCATTGATTGGGCGGATCGATAATCACATGGAAAATGATTATCGAATCATAAGTTAGGAGAGAGAGTCTTTACCGCCATACCACTATACCGCTATACTAATACCAACATATAAATTTCGGTGTAACTAGTAGTGCAGATTTCTATATACAAATTTAGAAATAATCCCCAGAAAATTACTATGACGTTACACACGCGCACTGATTTTATACGCTGTGTTGCATCACAATGAATTCAAATTTTACATGGTAAAATTTTACCTTCACACCGATTTCCCTTGTTGAGAATAGGAATCACCACCAAATTGGAAACACAACTTTATAACATGTATATATATATACTTTAAGGCAGCTTATTAATAAAATCGAAAATAATAGGCCATAGTCAAATTTTGCCTTTATATTCACATATATAGAAGTGTCAAACCATTACATCATTACACAGTTTTGTGTATCATTTATTTTGAATAAACAAATGGATGTTGAAATCTCATTTTGAATGATTAGGTAATATAAGTAAGCAATCAATTGTCAAAAAAAAGAGAAGAGAAACATAAAGTAAAGAAACATTTAAATATTATTATTAAATAATTTTAAAACCGTCAACGAATTACGACTTAAAATCAATATTATATAATATGATATGCAATAGAATCCGGGCTTTCTTTTGAGTCTAAGATCATTCAATTCGATCAAGTATTTGTATGTGAAATTGTAACTATGTGGGGTGTTTGTATATGTAATTCTGATTGGTTAATTTGAATTTCACATATGCGAATTGCAAATTCATATACAAAAATATATAAAGGATATTTGCGTTTTCTTGAAAAAATCCACATGGCGTTTTCATTAATAGTTATCAAGTATGATTTATAATAAAACTTGCTTTGGAAGCTTCATGCATCATAAATTTTGTCTTTTAACGCTTACTTACATCTTACAATGACCGTTTTAAATTTAAATAAAAATTTTTTTAAGAATTATTAAATGCATTTAATAATAACGCGGATTCTTTCTGAAATCAGAATCAGAATCAGAATTAAATAAAAGTTTGTCAATTTTGGTCATCGTGTTTTGAATAATAGTACAAAAGAGGATATTGAGATTCAACAAAGAATTTTATATATTTAAAATTAGCGAAACAACTTGAGGTTAGCAACAACTTAATAAATTGCACAGTGTCAACATAAAGAAAACAAGGTTCAATTAAATTAAAAGATTTAGACTTTTTTAAGTGAAATGATATGCGTGCCATATGACTTTTATGGGTCAATGCTTTGCTTCAGAATTATATTTAAAAGATAAGAGAATCACATGGACGTCATATTAAACGTGTCAAACAGTGGCTTGCTTGAACATAATGCAAGTTTGAATCTTTATGCTTTTGGAGAATGCAAACTTGAAACACAATTTTGTGTGAAAACCATTTGTCATCATTTTTTTTATTCTAAAAGAAACCTCCGTTGATTGATTGGATCAAATGAAGTTCGAGAACTCGAAGAAAACTTTATGCTATTTTTATCTCATCGGTTACGTAAAATATACAATTTAATGTTAATGCTGGGTTAGCGCTTCCGTTCATTAATCACCCTTTTTTGATATCCAAAAGAATTACGAATATTCGAAATACATCAGATGACTAGATGGAATTTTAATAAATATTTCAAATAACCATAAATGTACTAATAACATAAATGTTTCGATAACAATAACTAAGATGACGTGCGATAAATATATAATTGACGAAATTTGATTAATTTGACGTTTCTTTATCATTTTTTCAGCACGGTCCGGTTTCAAATTACAGAGAAACCTTGTTCAAATGAATTACAATTAAATTCTTCAACGAATCTTTAAATCTTGTCACATATTATTATTGTTGTTATTATGAAAACATAAAAATTTGTTGAAACGCGCGATTAGTAATTTTGTTTCGACGGATTTTGAATGAAAATTTCTTATATTCGTTGTAACAAGATCCTTTTTGATGTTAGTACAATTTCCGGCATCATTGAACAACCGTTATGATGGAGTTGAGATAGCATGAGTACAAAATCATTTTTTGCCAAGAATATAATCTTCTCTCCATCAAAGTCTAAAAATATTTTAATAATAGTAATAATAATAATAATAATAATAATAATAATAATAATAATAATAATAAATATTTATGTAGCACATTACTGGGACCTATTACTTGAAAATAAAAAAAAATAAAAATTTATAATTTATCTGATTGGTATATAAAAAAGCAAGAGCTTGTAACACCAATTACTATTGGAAGAAGACCAAGGGGTTCTTCTGAAAATTCAACAATTAATATATATATAATTGAAGAAATATCAAAAATCAATGAATCAATGAATTGTCATTTACCTCTCCATCAAAAGCAGAATAATAAATATATTACAATTGAGAATGAAGAAACAAATAATGAAATGATAACTGACAAAGAAATTATTGCTTCTTTCAAGCAAATTGAAGAAAAAGTTGTCATTGGGGGTAATGAGATTGCACCAAAGGTTTCAATAAAAGATGCTGTAAATGCCTTTGAGATTGTTTACAATCTTATTCAACAAGATGATATAGAAATAGACTATATTATATTGAATTTGAATCTTTTTAAATCATTAAAAAGAAAAATAATATTCAAAAAAAAAAAAAAAAAATAGTATTACAACGTATTTCAACAAATCATTAGCGTATACTAATACTATTAATATTAGAGAAAACTCTATGATTCGAAAATATTTGTAAAAACGAGTGAGGGTAACCGCAGCACTATAATTCGGGTTAATGGTGAATTTAAATCCAACAAAGGGAAAAGAATGAGACACTCTTTGTGAATCATTAACTAAACAGAAAAAAATCACATTAAAAGTCAGTAGTAGTACAATTGTTTTGTGTTTAAATGAGGAAAGATGTAGGTCATAATATTGAAAGATATAGTAAAGATAGGACTGTGGCATTAAAAAAATTACATAATTCACAGAGTATTTCTGATGAATTTCTTAATGAGGTAAATTATTTTATTTTTTTATTTATTTTCTGATTTTTAAATATTAAATATTTATTTATCATTTAGTTCAAAAATTATATGAAGTTCCATGATAAACCAAATATAATTCATATTTATGGATCAACACAAGATCCAATTACAAAAGAATATATATTTGTGATGGATTATATAAAAGATGGAAGTCTTCAAAATTATTTAACTAAAGATTTTAAAAATTTAAAATGGGAACAGAAAATTGAGGTTCTTTATTATATTATTAAAGGTTTAAAAAATATTCATGAAAAAGAAATTATTCATCATGATCTTCACAGTGGCAATATTCTTCAAAAAGAGAAAAGGCAGTCATATATTGCAGACTTAGGATTATCATGCCCAGTTAGTCAAACATCATCATCAAACAAAAATGATATATGTGGAGTACTACCATATATTGCACCAGAAGTTTTAAAGGAGAAACCATATACAACAGCATCAGACATATATAGTTTCGGAGTTCTGATGTCTGTAATTTCAACTGGTCAACAACCATTTAATAGTTTGGCACATGATGTTGGTCTTGCAATGAAAATATGTGAAGGTGTAAGACCTGGATTTTCAAACAACACACCAAAATTCTATATTGAACTAGCATTCAAATGCATGAATGCTAATCCAGATAAACGTCCAACTGCTAATGAAATTTATAAGACTATTATTTATTTTTGGTTTGATTCATTTAATGCTAATATAATCAATAATCCTGAACTTTATGGATATTCCAAAGAACAGTGTGATGAAATAAAATCAATTAGAAAAGAATTTGATAAAATGGATGAAATGGATTTTGATCCTTCAACAATTACTGCAGTAATTCATCCAAATGCTGTTTATACTAGCAGATTATTAAAATTTACAAGCCTTCCCCAACCTGTGAATTCCAATAAAGTAACAATTATTGGTAATAATGATGGTGATTATTAACATTTAATCATTGATTATTTTTTTTTTATTAATTTTTAAAATTTATTAATATCCACCACTCTTGTAATAAATATTTATAGATTCTCATCAGATTGAATTAGATGCATTAGATTATATATAATAAAATTATTTATTATTTTATTTTATTTATCTGGTTACTATATTAAATATCTTGGGAAATGAAATTAATTATTTATAATGGTATATATAAAGGTATATAATAATTTCATGTTTTTTGGATTTTTTATTAATTTTGAAATTGGATGTCAAATATGCACATTCAATAATTTTATAGTAGTTGTTGTATGATTTTTGGCTACTGTATATTTAAAAATATAAATTCTGTTTATTTTATTTAAAATAAAGATTTATTTATATTGATATATGTAAATAAGGGAGAGAAAAGTAAAGGTTATATAATTGATGCAAAAGTTCTATACAAAACTTCACATTTATTATTGTTATCCAAATTTCCTGATTTAAAAAATTTGTATAGATTTCTAATATAGCACCATTTGTAATTTGAATACAAATATTTCATCTGTTTGTTCCAAAATTCCAAGCTCAAGTAATGTATCTTTATTCAAAATGAAATTTTTGACAAAAATAAATTGTCTTCAAACATGGTTATAGTATTTATAGCACCCTGTGCAACACTTGAGGAAAATCATCAAATGGAAAATATCCATACTTTTTGACAAGTTTGGAAAGCCATTTGAATAATTAGTCTAAAAGAAAAGAATACCCTGCTGATAGTCCATACTGGTGTTGTCACCCAGAACATTGGTGGACAGACCATACACTCATCCTTGAAAGTGTGGTAAGCATTTGGAAGGGAAGATAAAAAGAAACATTGATTTTTTCAAACAATGCACATAAGACTGAGCTACAGAAAATTAATGCTATGATGAACAATGATCTGTCCACCTTCATCCTGGGTCCACAATAATAACTACATTGAACTCAAGACTTATAACACCCTTGATCTTTTTCTTTTTGGTATTGTAATGTTGACGTTAATGTGGCTCGCATCAATCAATTCCTTCCTTCTAGAACTTATTTTCAATCAGAATTGCCAACTATCTTAAAAAAATATAAGAATCTAATTTTTATTTTTATTAAATAATGTTTTTACCATTATTTTCTGAATCACTTATTGAAACATCATTGTTTTTCTCAAGTTGTATTTCTTCTAGACTTTTTGTAATTGAAATTCTAAATTTCGTAATTTTTTGATTTTAGTAATATTTCACAATAATAATAAAACAAACTCAAAAGTTCACCGCGTTTCTGCCAGATTTCCTATTCATAAATCATAATACAAATTCTTATTCCATCATATACAACTCAATCTTAATTCGAATTATTGAATAGAAACCCTATTTTTGGTCAAGTGCAAGGTTTTCTTTCCAGCTGCACATATACTATTATTGTAGGCGAGTTCTGGTCAAGTGTCTCGGTTTCCTTTCCAGTTTCATATGCTCCAAAAAAAAAGTACAATTATACTATTTGAGACATCACTACAAGTCCAAACTAATAGTTAAAGGTTGGCCAACCATTAATCATCAGAAAGGATTATTAATTAATTACAGTCAGATACAGTTTTTATTATTAAAAGATGAAGGAAATTTAAGTGTATTTATACTTCTTGAATTTTTGCAATAAATAGAATGATTAATAATGAGCGACTAATATTAATTACTAATGTTAAATGCAAAAACGCGTCATTGATGATGTCATTATATAAAATGAATTGATTCAACAATCGGGCGGGATCCAAGTTAATCTTCAATTTACTATCTCGCACTGGCATTTCCTTGATTTATTTGGGTCATATATATTCCCCAAACAAACTGTGTTAAAGTCAGCGTTCTCTTTTGAAATTCTTTCCAACATCAGGAAAAATTTTTTTTTTTGGAAAAGACGTAAACCGTGTGTCGGCAGCAAATATATATATATTATCTTGTATTTTATCAGACACCCCTCGAGTTTGTAATCAGAAATTCCACGCTCGCAGCACCATCTTTAACATCTTGGCAAGTTCATTCGCTACTTTTTTTTTCAATATGAACAAATATTAATTAATGAACGAACAAGTATAAGTACATACATGATATGTAAATTATATGATTAAATATAAATACATACTAAACCAATAATAATAGATAAAGGGCAAGCCTACTGTCTGGCTAAATCAAGAGAAAAATATTTGAAGTTGTTAATTTTGTGAGGAAAATATACTTGTAGCCACTCTCTCTATAATAATAATGGATCTTTCTATAACGGACTGAGAATTTATGCCCAATTTATATGCCCCATATTAATATTAACATATTACTATAAAAACTTTTTACGGAAAAACAATACATTTTTTGTACAAGATTTTTTATAGTATATAATAGTAATAGAGTAGTCGATTCTTGAATCAAAGCTATCAATGATGAATATTCAACCTGTCATTAATGTGACCGAGAACTCCATGCCCGTCAATATATTCTTGCTGATAGAAGGGCATTTCCGCAGCCACTCTACCATTAGAATCATTAGTCAATGTCAAAAATAATGCACCAAATTTTCCTCAAAATAGAGGTTTAATGTTTGCTTTGTGATTTTTGTGTCTTAAGAGTAAATGAAAAAGAGTTATTTCTTGCTGCAATAACCTTCACGCTATCCAATAAAACGTGTGGTTGCTTGCTTCGTGTTTGTTTATTTGAGAATTTATCTAAAAAGATTTATAGTGGTCCCTGTAATAAAGAACTCATCGAAGCATGAGGAGACTTTCCTACAAAAATATTGGCAAAATCAACCCCTTAGAAGAAGAAACTTTACTGCCAGTTTTTGGACTATTTAATAAAGAAGTGTGGAGTTGTCAAATTTATCCTATGAAATAGAAAATTTGTCTGCTCGATAATTTGCAAGGTCAATGATTGGTTAAACAATTTTGAACCCTGAAATTCCTTGTGACATAATAATAATGGTATCCCCATCATTATGTGGGAAATTTTTGAAATTAAAAAAAAATGGTTGTCAAATTAAATGAAGCTGAACGTGAAACTTCTTTAAAGCCTTTGGTTGAAACACATTCTTGGGAAATTCTTCAGGACAGAGATGCAATTAAGAAAACATTTAAATTCAAAGATTTTAATGAAGCATTTGGTTTTATGAGTAGAATTGCTTTAAAAGCTGAAAAGGTAATTAATATATACATATATAATTAATCACCACTACTATTGTTTATTATTATCATTATTATTAATATTTTACATTTTAATTTAGATGAATCATCATCCTGAATGGTTTAATGTAAGAAGTGTATATTTTTATTTTAAAATTTTAATAATTATATAATGAAATTTTTAATTATTTATTTTAATTATTTTTAGGTTTATAATACTGTTGAGATTACTCTTACTACCCATGATTGTCAAGGACTTTCTAAAAATGACATTGACTTTGCAAAATTTGTTAATAACATTTACAATAAATAATAAATTTTTTACAACAATAAAGTCAATTCATCATTATGACAATTATTGTAACTTGTATTCACAATAATTACAACTATAATTACAATTAATTGTGAATCTGGATTTTCAAAATATTTTAGAAATTTCTTGATGAAAAATATATAATCATAAAAAATACAAAAGAAATAAAAAAAGCACTTATGCTCATATTAACCAATGACTTTATTCCAAATTAAATCTCAACCAAAACCCTAATACATGTTATTATAATAAAATTTTGCAATCACAATTATTTATCATCATGAAAAGTAATTTAATAACAAAAGGATTTAAATTTGCATTATACAAATCAATACATCAACTTTTATTATATCTAGAATATCTGACAATTTCCATAGTATTGATTACCAATATATCTTGGAATGTTAAAATTAATACAATGTACATCAAGATCAACAACAACAATATAATCACCATTAGCTTCTTCTGAAACAGATGCAACAATAAATTGGCATTGTTGGGAGGCAATAGCTGTGGGACGTTTGAAGTTTTTTATGGCATGGATAAGAAAGATGATGCAATGGGATGGATACAAAAAGTATTAATAATTTCAAAGAGTCAAGTTGATGAAAAAGATTGTGATGAGTGTAGTGATGTGATACTTGATAATTTAGGCTTGATTCATGAGAGGAATGGTAATAAACAACATGCATATCGTTATTTAGTCAAGCAAACTGAATATGCTGAGAAAGCTAAAGATTTTATTGGACTAGAGAAATACAATGAAAATTTACATAGATCATCATCATCATCTGAGGATACGAAATTACAACAACAATTATGATGATGATATTTATCAATTAATCATTTTGTTTTTTCATTTGTTTTTCTTGTTCTTCTTGTAATGATTTAGCAAAAATATTATTGAGGAATAAAGGCTTTACACTATTTGATTTTGATTAACAAAAACAATAATAGTTTATTAGTAGTACTAAATATAGCAGGGCTAATATATTAGCATGTTAATGAATGAATAACAAACCTTTTATAATTTTTTGATTTGAGTTCCTGTAATTTTTTTGTACATGGTGAGAATAAATTATCGGTTGGAGAAACAATTCTTTATTATTATTATTGTTTGTTTGTTTGTTTGTTTACATGATTGCGAAAAGCAAAAAATTACTAAATTTATTGGTAAAAGTTAAACCAATCAACCAACCCAGTCAACCAACTTACTTCATTGGTTTTTTATTAACTTTGTTATTAAGAATTGGAGGTGGTGGGGTACTTTGAAGATTTGTTGCATCTTGCATTTCAACATCATTTGAGTACCAAGAAACTTCTTCAGTGTATTGAAAAATATCATTTGGATAATTAGTAGTTGTAATAGTGGTATTACTAGTAGTTTCCATATTTGTATTCATATTGTTGTTATTATTATTGGTGGAGCTTGACAATAATTGTGTATTAAATAATTTTTGGGTGCTCATTTCAAAGTTAATAACAACGCCAATAAAAAAAAATCATGTAAAAAAATCACGTTACGTCATCGTTTTTATAAATAGGATCACGTGGTCATAATAAAAAACTATAATCACAAAGATTGATCAATGAATGAATGAATCTATTCTTATTTAATTATATATTGGTAATGATGATGGAAATTGTAAAATGAATCTAACAAAGAAAATAAAAACAGTAAAGAAAAGAAAATATTGGTATGAAATCTATGATGTGCTTATTAGTTTATTTTAATAAAAAATATTACTTTTTAGAATTAATATTAATTCTCCTATTTGGAAAACGTGTGCATTTTTAATTTTTAGAATTAATATCCAAATACATAAAATACATATTTCACATTAAATTTTCTCTTTTTAAATCAAGCCAGTAGAATATCATTGCATTGCAGAACAACTACTTTCAATTTATCGTCAGTCGAAAAAAGGGTAACACATACTATATACTTTTAAATGTTTTTTAACAATCTAATTATTATTTTTTTATCAGAGCAAATAAGAAAACTTTAGTAAAATAAAATAAAAGTTAAAGTTTGACATCTCAACTATAATAATATCTTTGAAATAAAGGCTAAAAAAAATCAGATAATTTAATGTGAAAAACGCCAGAAGGTATATAGCAGAGTGGAAAGATATGGATGTCTTGAGCTCCAACACAAGAATTGTATCAAAAATTCTTATTAAAACCATCACTGAAAAACTGCAAGAATAAATTTTTGTTATTGAATTAAATAAATTTTTTTTTTGATTTTAATAAAAACAATTCATTTCCATGATATTTTTAAATCAATTAATTGACTTGCAACATTTCCACCTCGAAAGCTTTGTAATAATAGGTTATTTTCACATGAATAGATGTTTATATAAAATTTATATTATTCATAAAATTGAGAAAACATTACAGTTTCACATTTATGTTGTTCTTTAAATGAGACATGATATCCATCAGCAGGATCAATTCTATCATGTAAAGAAGCACTTATAACAAACATCTTGAATTGATTTTCATTAATAATAATAAAATTGAAGCTATAATTTCTCTCAAAAAAATTTGTATCATTTAATTTAGTTGCTCCTTATTACCTGGATATTTTTATCTAGATATTTATTATAGGCAGGATTTACTGAAGATGTCATGTCTTCTGCTGATGTCATGAATTGTTCAATTGAACTTGCAGATACTGGCCCGTTTATATCTACAAAACAATTCATCCATGCTTCGTTCATTATATGTTGGGTATAAAGTTCGGAGCTTTAGGCTAGAAACTATTTGGTATTCTAATTTTTGCACTCTGCTTATTTAGAATCAGATTTATTAATTTCTAGCCTAATAAACTTACTATAGCAACCAGTGTCCCGGTTGAACAAGTTTTTTCTGGAGGCACAGACTTAATTACTCAAAAAAGTTGTAGTTTAGAATCTGAAACAATAAGAGTTTGCATGTGTTTAAAAGGTTGGCGGGAGACGACGAACTTTATATGTGAATTGAGAATAGAACGTCGTTAGAGTTCCTATTCGAATAAAGCTTATTCGTTATGAATTCGGGTATTCGAATTACATTGAAACAAATGTTTAAAATAATTTCAGACCAGCTGTATTTAACGTGACATTATGTATGAAATGGATAAGATTCAATCATAGTCTCCATTCTAATTTTGGTAAGAAATGGATCTTCGCTACCATGGTAGACTTCTCTACTTCGCAACACACATTCGCCAAAACCAAGCTACAAGTTATTTGTGAAGTATATTTTTGCGTAGCTAACGACTTTAAGATGTCTCAACCGAACCGTTCGGAGCTTTAGTTGGGTGTTTAAATTAATCCCAATCGGAAATAATCTTTTTTTGTTTTTAATAACGGGATCCATTTTTTCTTGCCACCGATAGGACCGTAACGAAGATATATCCAATGTAAAATCACTTTAGGTTATGAAGAACTTTCATCTAAGAGTTTTTGTTCGCAATGATGCCAATAGTTGCTCCATAGTTTGAAATTTTGGGAAAAGATTTATACGTAATCAAAAAAAACGCACCTTGTCAAATTTTTACCGTCCAAAAAATTATCACCAGAATAAACATTCATTAATTTATTTTATAAAAAAAATCACACAATCTTTCAATCATTATTCTGTTTAAAATATTTCTTTTTCACCGAGAAAAATCATGCTAGTTTGTCGTCTTCAAATGGACAACCACCACCATCAAAAAAACAAAACTAAACAGACGAAAGCATAATTGGACTTCAAAAGTGATAAAAATGGCAAGTAGAACTAGTAAAAAAGTTTGTTCAATCTTAAATGAAGCTGTTAAAGAATTGTAGTGCTGGAAATAAATTATATTAAACTAGTACAAATTTAGAAACCATCTGCCGAAAAAATACTAGAGTGTAACGTGACACTTTCGCATTCCCCGCACTCAACCTTGGACTTTTCAAATAATAATAATAATAATGGTAATTATTTCTGTTACTAATTATCAAATCTAATTGATTGACAATTTGAATAAAAAATAAAATAAATGGATAAATTGTTTAATTAGCAAAAAAATTTAAAGCCTACTCGTTCCAACCTGTTCACTTTCCTTACTCACCTACCTATCTTCACTAACTCCTCTCTCTTCAACTTTTACTTATTAGTTTCGTAATCAGTATGATAATGATATTTCCACATGGAGTCCTCAAGGTCGTATACATCAAATAGAATATGCTTTAGAAGCTGTAAAACAAGGATCTGCTGCTGTTGGTCTAAGATCTAAAACTCACGCTGTCCTATTAGTATTAAAGGTATTGAGATGATGATTCGATTGATTGTTAATGAATTGGAACTATTATTGGATGTTAATTGATTCACCACTCTTCTCTCTCTTTTTTTTTTTTTGATTTGAAAGAGATCTACTGGTGAATTGGCATCTTATCAAAAAAAAATCATCAGAGTTGATGATCATTTGGGTATAGCAATAGCTGGTCTAACTTCAGATGCAAGAGTTTTAAGGTTTCTTTCTTATCAATACTAAAATTTTCTACTAATTACCACTATCGATTATAATTTCTATTTTATAATTAAATTGGATTTTATTTATTTATTGACATACCTCATCATCTTTTATAGTAATTTTATGCGTACTGAAGCAATGAAATCTAAAATGATTTATAATCGTCCTTTACCAATTTATCGTATTGTCTCTGCAATTGGTGATAGTAAGTATTCTATACATGCGTGTATGTTGTTGTGTATATGTGAAAGGGAAAGTTAATTCAAATTTAAAATTTTTATTTATTAATTTATTTTTCTATTATTTAGAGGCTCAAATAAATACTCAAAATTATGGTAAAAGACCATATGGTGTTGGTCTATTGGTTGTTGGACATGATGTAAATATTAATATGATGACTATGATAATATTATTGATTGATTTATAAATTATTATTTTAATTTTCATTTAACAAATTCAATACATCATTTATTCATTCATTTACTTATTTATTAGGAAACTGGTCCACACTTATATGAATGTGCACCTTCTGGTAATTTCTTTGAATATTACGCAATGTCAATTGGTGCAAGGTCACAATCTGCAAAAACATATCTTGAAAAAAATTATGAATGTTTTAATGATGGTAACTTACTATTACATTATTACTACTTACTACAAACAATAGTTAACATTCTTTTTTTTTTTCCTTTCCCCTTTCCTCCTCAAAGCCTCATTGGATGAACTTGTTAAACATGGTCTGCATGCACTTCGTGATACACTACAATCAGATAAAGAGCTTACAACACTAAATTGTTCAGTTGGAATAGTTGGTGTTGATCGAAAATTTGAAATTATAGAGGGTGACAATTTACAAGGATATTTGGATTTGTTGGATACTGCTACTACCAGTAATACAGGTGGTGATGATGATGGCGATGATCATGGCAATGGTGAATCATCTTCTGCTCAAGATCAAGAAACTACTGTGTCAATGGATACAGAATGAATAAAATAATAATAAAATATAGTTTTTGATATTTATATTTATTTATATATGGTTTGTGTGCGTGTGTATGATATATATTTATTATAAATGGTTTTTTTTTTTTTTTTTTTTTTGAGAATCTCTCTTTAGATATCAATATCTATATTGCAAAAACAACAACAACAACAATAACCACCATATAATTATCGCAATAGTCACCTACACTTATTTATCATGACTCTCCCTCCAATATTCACCAACAATATCTTTCCATTTTTTCTTATTATCATCACCATCATTATCGCTACTATTCAACTCTTTAATGACTCCATCTTTTATCTCTCTAACTTTACCAGCTCCATCATATGTTAAACTTGTATACAATTGAACCATTGTTGCTCCTGCTCTTGCATACTCCAATGCATCCTGTGCATTACTTATACCACCACAACCAATCAATACTATTTTCCCATTGGTGTATTGATATATTTTTTTTAATGCTCTCAGTGATAATTGTTTAACAGGTGGTCCTGATAATCCCCCCATTTCTGAAATTAACTTTTTATCTAAAAGAAAATAAATGAAAAATAATATTACATTTATAATATATTTCTTTAATAAAGATTTTTTTTAATAATTAATTGCTAACCACTTTTTAATGACGCTGGTCTTGATGTAGTTGTATTGGATATAATAATACCATCAACGCCATTATTCATTGCCGCATCTGCTATATCTTCTAATTCTTCTTCTGTCAAATCCGGCGAAATTTTTACTAAAAGTGGTGGCAGTGATGATGGTGATGATGATGATTTACTTGACAAATGTAATTCATTACGAGCTTTCATCACCTATTATTGTTATTCCAAAAAACATAATAATAATAATGACAATAATAAATAATAAATTTATTATTCAAAAATTAAACTAAAAATCGCAAAAAAAAAAAAGACAAACCTCTTTCAATAAATTGTCAATTAAACCTTTCTTTTGTAATCCTCTTAATCCAGGTGTATTAGGACTACTAACATTAACAACCAAAATATCTGCATATTCTCCAAATCTTTTTATTCCCTTCACATAATCATCAACTGACTCAACATCACTCCATTTATTCTTTCCTAAATTAATTCCTAATAGTTTAAAATGTTTTAAACTTTTATTATTACAAAATGAAGACGAAGATGAAGACAACAATGATGCTTCTTCTTCTTCTTCTTCTTCATTTTCTTTTCTCTTGTTTACATCTCCAGCTTGATACAAATAACCTCTTTTTCCATTACTTTTTCTTCTTATTCGATCACGTAGTCTTGACTCAACTATGTAATGTCCATCAGAATTGAATCCGTATCGATTGATTATTGATTTATCTTTTGATAATCGAAATACTCTTGGTTTTGGATTTCCTGGCTTTTCCATTATTATCAAGAATTAATAATTATATATACTTTTCATTATTTGATTACAATTATTATACTTATCACAGATTTAAAATCAAGTCAGTTTGTTTTTTTTTTCATACTTGGGGTTCAGGAGTTACACTACCAATTTCCACATAACCAAATCCAAGATCAAACAATCCATCAATCGCTTCTCCATTTTTATCAAACCCTGCTGCCAATCCAATTGGATTTGATATTTTTTTACCCCAGACCTTTTATTTTATTATTTATTTATTAGTTTCATATAATCAAAACCAAACTAAAAATCATCATCACCAAATATATTATTATTATTAAAATGAAAATTATATCATCACTTACTTCAATACCAAGACACTCATCATCCGCCAATTTATCTTTAGGCGTCAATTCATGTTTAGCCGCCCATATTGCAAATTTATGACTTGTTTCAGGTGTTGTGAAAAGTCTCAACGCTGTTGTCGACAAATATTTATGTATTACTGCCCTAGAATCAGAATAATAATACTTTAAAAACAATGTTAAACCAACAAGTCCACTTGTTCCTATGACTAAATTTCGTAATAATAATGATGATTTTGGTGGTGAATTAGGTCGATGAGGTGGCGGTGGTATTGGTATTTGTAATGCTTTTTTTGTTTTTATCGCAGTGAAAAAACTTCTATTACGAGCATACATGATGGTTGGAAAATAATTTCGATGATCGATAAATCACGGTTCCCCAATTAAAATTCGAAATCCTAAAATTGAAAAAAAAAAAAATATTGCTTTTAAATTATCTCAAGCAATTTTATAATTCTCAAAGTTTTTATTTTGCCAATTTCTAAAGTGCCAGAAAGACCTCTCGACATTATTTTAATAAAGGTGCAAAAATATATCCTGCCATGTATTATTCCACCCACATGTGTACATTGTAATGATAATGGAACTAAAGGAAGTTCGCAGTTGGTGCAAGAACATTTAGCGAATAGCACTATTGAAATAAAAAAATTTTATCTTGAAATTATTTTACAAAATGATGATTTTTTGGACAAAACAATTCTTTGACAACTCCTAATTTTTCGAATGTTCTTGGATCAAGAATAATAAACAATAATCAAAAGGAATTGATCCAACAAACATTTCACCTCAAGAACAAAAGTTAATTGATCAAGTGTTGACGACAACAATGTTTGTTTGTTGTGGATTACACTTTTCTTTTGTAGAAACCCCATTATTCGTCAAGTTTGTTAATCAATTAAAGCCTGCATATAAACCACCTTCTAAATTTAAAATTATCCAAAAATTTTGTAACGAGGAAATAGCAAATATCAACGTAAAAGTTGATATTGAATTAATATTAGAATTTCAAATTAGATTTTGATTGAATTTCGATTTTTGAAAACCGAGAGTTTTGAATTCTATCAATACTAAATGACTTTCGCCATCGTGTATAATTACAAATAATTATAATGAAAATAATGGACGGCGACGATGGTGATAACAATAAACGCGAATTTCTTCAGGTCTTTTTTTTACAAAATTGTAGATAAAGAAAGATTATTTTGAATTAAAATAATGTAATTGATAAATTGGCAAACCAAGAGAATGTAACAGGTGTAATTAGCAAGATTCCACAATTAGATATTGTACTTGGACACTCTGGAAATAACGTTGAACCAAAACAAAACGAAAAAAAATATTATTATGATCAAAAACGCGTTTTCCAACTACCATTTCCGTTTAATTTATATAATTTCGGCATTGAATTATTATAAAATTATGACTGTTAATCATATGGTATTCCTAGATAATGGAAATTATCATGTGCCAAAAGGAATTTTACAAAAAAATAATTCAAATTTAACATCAAGAGTTAGAATTACAACCATTAGATATTTATAAAGTTCATTATATCATATACATGAAAAGATTTAATCCATTGTGATACTGGTAATATATTAGTGGATAGAGTGTTACAGACTTGGGATTATGCGGGTCTGTTGATAAGATCATCAAATAAACCTTATAGCTGAGTTACTTGTAAGCAAAGAATACGATAATGTTAATGTGGAAGATATTCATAGGCTACCAATCCACTATTTGACAATAGAACTCATAATTATAGATATATGCGAAGGTTTATGACCACCAATATTACCTCAAGAGTGTTGTCCGTCCAAAAAACCAACCATTGAAGAACCTGCTATATTTACAAATAGTAAATTAGATGAATTTCTAATACTGATAACGACAATAACAGGAATAAAAAAGTTTGGAAAGTAATGACGGTTCATTGAATGATCTTGACATTAAACCCGTTATCTGAAGAGCTTTTGCAAATTAACAGTAAATTAAATGAAATTTATTAATTAAGGGAAAGGTGTTGAAAGAGTTAGTGAGGTTGATGAATTGGGTTAATTGTTAATGGACAATAATCAATTTTAAAGAAGCAAAAAATTATTAGATTATGATTCAAAACTAAACATTGATCAAGGATAATATAATTATTATTTATGTATTCTATTTATTTGTATCTTTTTCTAGACAGATTACAATATGAATCGTTGAATGGACGATTGGTACCTAAATTGATTGATTTAAGAGTTCTATATATGCGATCCGTCGTTTGAAATTTTGTCAAGAGTACACAAAGATATTCTTGATACTTCCTTCCATCGACTAAAATAAGAAAACTTATTCTATATTTGCAAGAACAGTTACCTCTTTTGATTTTTGGACTGTTGGTCTTAAACACCCTTTATTGTATTTTTCATAAAGTCTTCATCAAACCCGATTTTTTTTAATCGTTCTTAAGCAACTTATATATTGACTCATCACTAAAAATCTCAATTCATTCATTAGTCCATTTTATCCTACCCAAACGTTTTTTTCACCAATGAAAGGAGTTCTTTTTTACAACTATTCCATAATAGCCTTCCGAATGTAAAGTACGTTGTACAGCTCTAGTGCTCACTTCTATTGATCTGGCAATGTCGAATTCTTTACAATCTTTACAATATCTCTTTTATCTAAATAGTAATAAAGAATGAATTATTGGTAATACTATAGAATTTGGGACTTCTAAAACCTCAGTTGTCACTCTTTGTTGTATTGTATGCCTTCTTCCATAATCCATAAATATCACCACGTTCAAAATCAGTAGGCTTTTTCCTTTGGTCATTTTAATATTCAATAAACTTTTATTATCTTAATTTCCCAAATTAACATTCAAAATATCTGTGTTACATAATTTTATATTTTAAAAGGATATTTTAGAATAGAGACGTTTTCACAATTTAGATCTGACAATTTATTTCAATTAATTCAACTCAATTCATTTTTTGTTTAACTCGTATTTACACATAATCAATAATTTTTCAATGCGTCGAAATAAAACTTTTAGGACAACTGTTTGGGATCCAATTCTCATTGTTTCTCAGGTAATAATAATGTTGCTATTGGTTTTTTTTAAAAAAATAAAAAGACCTCGAATTAACTAATTAAATTTTTTGGCACTTTATTAGATTATTGCGTTACAAACATTATATTATACTTCGATTTCTACGATTGCATTGTTTACGTTATTAATATCAGGGAATGATATAACGTTAGATCATCTATTTGACTATAGAGAGTTTAGAACTGATACAGTACTAGGTTGGACTTTAGGCTTCGCATGGCTTTCAAATTCAATTGTTGGGTAGGTCAAATATATATTTTATTTATCTATCATTTTCATTTTTATCATTTCTATTAATAATAAAAATTTATTATTAATATGTTAATATTAATATTATAGAATCTATTTACTGGTTAAATTAATTCAAAGAGCAAAACTTGTCCTTGATTTTTGTTTAACTCTTCATTTTTTTCATTTGTTGATAACAAGTTTTTATTCTGGTCATCTGCCAACAACTTTTATCTGGTGGATAATCAATCTAATTACTTGTTGTATTATGATATTTGGTGGTGAACTATATTGTATGAAAAAAGAAATGGAACCGATAATTCTATTCAATGAAGATATCTTAGATGATAACGACAGCAATAATGTCAACATTAACAACAACAACAACAACAATAACAATAATTCTATAATAAACAAAAAATTAAGTTTAGATTTTAATAATAACAATAATAGTAACAATAGATATTATGAAATAATACCTATGGAAGAGATTGAAATAAATTGATTTTCATTTTAGAAGAAAATATTCATTTTATATTTAGAAATAAATTATAATGACATTATTTAATATTTTGGTTTACTACTAAATAACACTACTACCAACAAGGTCTAAAGCCTATCGGAACTTTTTTAAAAAGTACTTAAAACATATTATGTGTAAACTCTGCTACAACCAACACCAACGCCAACACCACCATCACCACAACAAAATATTTTATAATCATTTTTTTATATATTATAATTGTAATTGAAATTTTACATATATAAAGTAATAATAAGTATATTTGTATAGATTGTATGTATTGTTTCATTATAATCATTTATGTTAATTATAATTACTAAAATTTATTATTAGAAGCAAAGAAAAAACCAATAAATGATTTAATCATCTATATTGACACAATATTAATGTGCGCGAGAAGTGTTGATCATTCGATTAATCAATGTTGCTGGGAGCTTGTTGCAATTGTTCTTTGTAGTAAAAACATATATATCTGATAATATTATTGTATAAATATTAATTAATTATATAATTATAATTATAATTATAATTATAATTATAAAATAATAATTACCTGTTAACTGTATACCAAAGCATTAAATTAATCACAATATTGACAATGATAATTATTGGAAACTTTGTTACCACTCCGAGTATAATAAATACCAACAAAAGAGCTATAAATATAATATTAATTAATATAACAAGATTTTTATTAATTCCAGGTGTATACATTGTTGTAATAACATCAGTAACCATCGAAGGAGATGATGTTTGTAATATTTGTGGTTGTTCAGACTCCATTTTTTTTTCTAATTCTAATTTTGTTTCTGATTCATTTTCTGATTCGTATTCGTATTCTGATTCAAATTCATATACATATTCGTCTTCTGATCCATATTCACCTTCTGAATCTAATAATATGCACAATATTGGTTCAAATACTGATTCTGATAATTTTCTTTTGTGGGCTGCATAAATAACAAAGTTAAAGTATTATTAATCAATAGTTATATATAATAACAAAGAAAATATATAATATTTACTGCGTGATTTCTTATTTGATTGTTCTTCGATTTTGGTTCTTTTTGATGGTAAATCTGTTTCGCTTGTTTCAAATCGCTTAACTCCTCGATTTCTTACACCTTGTATTTCTTCATAACCATCGTCATAATCATCATTGTTATTATTACCATCGTCAATGTAATCTTCTTCTACTTCTACTTCTACCTCTTCTTCTTCTACTGCTACTTCTTCTACTACTACTTCATCATCCTCTTCATCACCTTCCTCTTCATCATTATTGTCATCCTCATCATCATCATCTTCATCATCTCCATCTTCATAATCATCATCTCCATCTTCATAATCATCATAGTCATCTTCTTCATCATCATCTTCCCCTTCCCCTTCCCCTTCTTCTTCTTCCCCTTCTTCATAATTATTGCTATAGTTATATTCAATATTTTCATCAACTATTTTAATAGTTGTTTGTAACGTAATATCATTAGTATCGACATCTTTGTTATTGATCGAAGGATCTGTAATATTATCGCCATCTTCTTCATTAGAAGTAAGTGCTATGTTATCTTCTTCACTTTTATTTAAAGTAAGTGCTATATTATCTTCTTCACTTTTATTTAAAGTAAGTGCTATATTATCTTCTTCACTTTTATTTAAAGTATCTTTAAAATCATTGCTTTCATCATCAGGAGAAATATTATAATCGTTTGAAGAAACAGGACCTATGAGATTATCATTTTCTTCGTTGAAAGTGCCTATTGCATTATTATCATCGTCTTTATTTTTGACAATATTATTTTCATCAATAGAAGAATCTCCATCGTTATTTATCGAAGAAGCTGTAACGATAACGATATCACTACCTTCATTAGAATTATATGCTACATTATCGTCATCTTCTTTATTTGAAATATCTTTTACATAATTATTATTATCGTCAGAAGAGCCTATCAAAGGAACCGCAACATTATCATTACCTTCATTGTATGTAGGTGCTACATCATCATCTTTATTTGAAATGTCTTTTATATTATTATTGTCATCGTTAGAAGAATCTTTATTACCATCTTCGTTAGAATTAAGTGCTACGTTACCATCGTCATCATTATTCGAAGTATCTTTATCTTCGTTATTGTCATCATTGTGAGAGACTTTATCATTAGATGAATTTATATTATTATTATTATTACTATCATTAGAAGCATTTATAATGTTATTATAGTCGTCCTTAGAAGGATCTTTATCATTACTATTATTATCATTAAGAGGACTATTATTATCATTACTAAAAGCATCTATAATATTATTATTATTCTCAAGATTTGGAGCATCTATAATATCACTAGTGTCATAATTTGAAGAATCTTTATCTTCATTGTTGTCTTCGTTAGAAGAATTTTTATCATTGTCATTGTTAGACGGATCTTTTTCTTCATTATTATTGACATCGTTAGAAAGACCTTTTTCTTCAGTATTATTAACATCGTTAGAAGGACCTTTATATTCATTGTTATCTTCATTAAAAGAATCATTATTGTTGTCATCGTTAGAAGGATTTTCATCTTCATTATTATTGTCATTGTTAGAAGGAATTTTGTCTTCAATATTATTGTCATCATTATAAGGATCTTTTTTAATGATGTTGTCTTCAATATTTTCATGAATTTTGATTATATCGATTGGAGTGGGTTTATTTAATTCAAAATTTTGAGCTGATTGCTCATGTTTATTATTGTTGTCATTATTATTTTCTAAATTTTCAATAGTAGCGTTGTTTTTTTCATTACTTTCTTCTTTATCTTCTATATTTTCATCCTTTTCTATTTCATCCAAAGTTGCTACCAACTGACTAGAAGAATCAATGAGTTTGTTGTTAGATAAATGTTCTTTTTCAATGTTTGATTCACTATCTTCAATAACTGATGTATCATCGTCATCATTATCGTTCTTTAATGGTAAATGTTCTTGTTCATTTTGTTGTTGTTCATTAAGTTGTTTGTTGATTTGCTTCATTTGATCGTGTGGTTTGTTTTGTTCGTGTTTTTCGTGTTGAATTTTATTTTGTTCGTGTTTCTCAATGTCTAGTTGCACTTTACAGTCACTATCATTGATACTATTTTTATTATTGTAATTGGATTTTTCCATGTTGATAATTTTTTTTTTCAGAAGAGAGAAAATGAGTGAAAAATAATGACAATAAATACCTCTTTTATTGTGTACTTATATGTATTATGATCTATAAAAATGTCGCGTAAAATAGTTGCACTTTACAGTCACTATCATTGATACTATTTTTATTATTGTAATTGGATTTTTCCATGTTGATAATTTTTTTTTTCAGAAGAGAGAAAATGAGTGAAAAATAATGACAATAAATACCTCTTTTATTGTGTACTTATATGTATTATGATCTATAAAAATGTCGCGTAAAATTTTTTTTTTTGAGAAAAATTTATTTTTAATTGGGTAGTTCCTCAAATGGAATTGTATGACACATTATATTAATGTGGGGGTATACTGTAATATGATGTCACACAAAATTACAGGGGTCAAAATTTATTAAAATTCGGGTGGCGTGTATGAATTCGACTTAATTCACCAACCAAATTTGGAGATCATCTGCAAACAACCAACTCGAATTCATACAATATGCACCATTCATCTGCAATCTCCAAATCCCGTATGTTCATTTGAAATATTCTAAAATTAAAGAATCACTGGAGTTCCTTAGAACGAAAAATCAATTCTAAATCAACTCTTATTATCGAATTTATAATAAATTCATAAATTCACTTAAGCATGAGCTTCTGATCGCCTCAAAAATATTAAATAGTGGAAATTCTCACACTAAATATAATTTGAGTCAGGTTTTTTATGCTGTGCTATATATATATCTCGTGAAATTTTTTTTTATTTAAATACAACTTATTTATTATAAATATTTTTATTTAAATTATTTTCAAAGATTTATTAAAATAATTTAATGGATTATCATCTAGTTTTCTCTTGTTGCAAAATTCAATACCATCAACATCATTATTATTCTGTGATAAAACTGATTCATCTTTCAAATTGAAAATTTTGCATAAATCTTGGTAAGTTTTTGATTGAGTCAATGATTTATAAACCGGCTCTTTAGATTTTTCAGCATACATTTGTAAGATCGTGTATTTTGTATTTGGAAAATGATTTCTTATCATCATAGCCTTCACAATAATAAAAATAACGATAAATATTATGATTTTTTAAAGTAAAATATAATCAATAATTAATTGATTTTGTAAATGAACCTTTTTAATATACATAGTTGCAACTTCATTTAATGGTAATAATCCATCTTTACAAAATATTGACACGTTACTTTGAGCTGCGCGTGCAATCATTATAGAACTGACACCTAATAAAATCAATTATTATCATTAATAATAATAATGATAATAATAATACATTAAGATATTAAAAATTGTGTTTCTTACTTGATAATTCTTTCAATTTGATAATATCTGATTGTTGAAAAATATCTCCATTTGCAATTATTGGGATGGATTTAACGTTCTCCATTATATCTTTAAATATTTCCCAATGTCCAGGTTGTCTTGGTCGTTCATTACGAGTTCTGTTCAACACATTGATTAATTATTTAATATGTATATATATACTTCTTGTAAAATTTTTTATTAAATACTCACCTACAATGAACGGCGATTGCTTTAACACCTGTATATTCTATCATCTTACATAATTCTATTGTTTTTTCTTTCGTGTCTAAAATCCTGAAAGATAAATATAGTACAATTAATGAATTGCACCCTCTATCTTTATAAATAATGTGATTAATTAACTATTTACTTATTTATACCTAATTTTACATGTAACTGGGAGACCACAGTTATCTACTAAATTTTTCAATATCTATGTTAAATAAAAATATCAATTACTACTTAAAAAATCTTTTTTTAAATAAATATATGATCATAAAAAACTTACAGCCTTTAATTTTTCAGGATTTGATAGCAAAGCTGCGCCCATACCACCTTGTATTGAAAATTTTTTAGGACATCCACAATTAACATCTATTCCTGATACATCTTCTTTCCTAATAAATTTTAATTGATTAGTTAATTATCACAAAAATAAAAATAAAAACAAAAAACCAATTTACACTTTTAATGCAGCTTTTAACGCGAGATCTGGATCTGAAGTTCCAATTTGAAATATTAATTTTGATTTCTCAATTGGAAGTGTTTGAAAATTCATCGTATTCTGTTTATCTATATATTCAATAACTCCTGTTTCTTCTATTTATATATATAGAGTTTAACCTGAAATATGTGAGTCATATATATATATATAATAGTTTGTAATGAATAATTATTACTATTATTATATTATTAAAGAAAATTTATTTTGTTTATTTTTTTTATTACCATTAATATGTCTTTCAGAAGATATTATTCGCCTGTCTACTATTTCGGGTGAATACACTAGATCTGTTTTATGATCATCATTGTTTATTATTATATGAAATATATGAAAACGATCAATTGCAGAATAAATTTTTTATTACCTGCTCCAAATTCTAATGCTAAAAGACGCAATGGGAGAGTACCAATTCTAACCTGCAACACATTTTAATGATTTAAAAAAATTTTCTTTTGTTATTATATATAAAAAGTAGTAAAGATTACCATTGGAGCAAGAATTAGTTTATTTCTATAATTTAACTCGGTCATTGGAGCACGTTTAAACAATTTCTTTATTAAAAGAAACATTTTGACCCCCATAAATACCAAAGTTTATATTTACAATAAGATCGACATTCAATAAATAATGATTCGCAAAATTTGGTTTAGCACCCCCCGCATTGATGATAAAGAATTTAATAATTAAAATCCAAAGAAAACCTTTTAACAATTTTAATCAAATTCTGCCAGTTAGGAATATGAAAGCTATTCAAATTAAACAAACTGGAGGTTTAGAAGTTTTAGAACATGTTGATTTGCCAATTCCACAATTGAAAAATCCTGAAGATATCTTAGTTAAGAATAAATATATAGGAGTAAACTATATTGATACTTACCATAGGTATATATTAAATATATTATGAGTATTAATGAATTTTATTATTTATTATTAATTATTATTAGATCTGGTCTTTATAAGACCACATTACCAGCTATACTTGGTAGAGAAGGTTCTGGAGTTGTTGAATCAGTTGGAAATAGTGTTAAAGATATTAAACCTGGGGATAGAGTTGTTTATATTGGATCATCAAGTTATTCAGAATATTCAATTGTCAATGATAAATTTACTATGAAAATGCCTGATGAGATTGATTTCAAAGTTGGATGTGCAAGTATTATTCAGGTAAATTTAGTGACAAAAAAAATGTCTATTTGATTGTTTTTTAAATTTTTTAAATAATAATAGCATCATTTTTTTATAGGGACTAACAGCATTGACTTTAGTGAGTGAATCCTATCAAGTCAAAAAGGGCGATTGGGTTCTTGTACATGCAGCAGCAGGTGGTACAGGATCATTGATTGTACAATTTTGTAAAGGTTCAGGAGCAACAGTCATTGGAACAGTTTCAACAGAGGAAAAAGGACAGGTTGTAAAATCATTGGGAGTGGATCATGTGATTAACTACAAGATTCAAAATGTTGTTGAAGAAGTTAATAAATTGACCAATGGAGTTGGAGTAGATGTAGTTTACGATGGAGTTGGTAAAGATACTTTTGATGACTCTCTTGCATGTTGTAAAAGACTTGCTAGTCTCATAACATTTGGTAATGCCAGTGGTAAAATTCCTCCATTTGATGTATTGAGATTGGCAGAAAAAAATATAAGATTGATGAGACCAACTTTATTCAATTATCTTGTTACAAAAAAAGAATTTCAAAAATACACTAAAGAAGTTTTTGAATTTATTATTAGTGGAAAAGTACATATAAACATTTGGAATGTATACAAATTATCTGATGCTAAGAAAGCACATGAAGATTTAGAAAGTAGAAAAACTACTGGAAAATTACTTTTAGAACCTTAATCATGATTATCATTTGTATTTTTTTGTTTTTCTAATTGAATTATATTTTGTAATGAAATCACTATAATCTTTATCAATGTTTAACCAACTGTTATTAATAAAATTTCTGTGTAATTTTTCCATAAATATCAAAGTTGAGGACATCAATGATTGATTCTCAGTACTTTCTAATATTTCTAAAGATAAAAATAATTTTTGAAATATTGTTGTCAATAAATTAAATAATGTTTGTAAATTTTTACGTTTACGTGAAGAAAAAGTAGTTGACAACTTTGTTATTTCTAAAGTTGAAAATAACTAAATTAAAAAAAATAAATAGTTAATATAAAAAAAAGTTTTAATTAGAAAGTTTTTAAGAAAATTTTTTTACCTTTTCAATTGTTATTATTGACTTTTTAATTACTACCATTCTAAAATTAATTATTCTATAATCATTTTTTGTTAAGTTTAATTTATTAAAATAAAAATCTTTATTTTGAAATGATTTTAAATGATCTTTGCAAAATTTAATTAATTCATAATCTGATTTCATATTATTATTATTATTAAAAATATTTAATAATAACTTTTGTTTAAATAAATTTGATTTTTTATAATCAATATTTTCTTCTTCACCTTCACCTTCACCTTCATTTTCTTTCACCTTCCCTTCTTCCTCGTAATAGTAATTATTATTACTCAATTGGAAATTTTTATTACTATTATTGATTATTTCATTTGCAACCTTCCAGCATTTTCTTACAAGAATTATTAATTTAATTGTTTGTTTGTAATATAATGAAATAAGATGAAATCTAGATTTATAATTATTGATCCAATTATCATAATCTCTAATTAACAAATTAAATTTATCATCTAATTGTGATAATAAGTTGTATTTGTTAAATAATACTATTAATAAACTTAGATAGTAATTATAAAATGATTTAGATAAATTATTATTATTATCATCATTTAAGTTTAATAATGACAATAAATTATTTGATTCACCATGTGAAATGTGATCTCTTAATCTAGGACCATCCGAATAAATAAACAAATCAAGCAACAAATCCTAAATCATGTAAATAAATAAAATTAGATTAAATTAGATTAAATTAAATTAGACTGGAAATAGATGATATGTATCTACCATAATTCCACCTTCAATTTCATTGTAAAATTCATTTTTAATATCAAGTTCGTTACTATTTTCAATGTTGATATAGTTATGATCAATAAATTTGTTTAATATAATATTTAATGTTAAATAATATTCGCCAATTTCAACAGTTGATATAAAATATTTTTTAATATTTCTATTAATAGATACAAAAATTCTTCTCAAACAATGTTCAAATAATGGTAAAGTATTAATAAAAAATAACAATAATAAATTATTACTATCATTATTGCCGTCATCACCATCTGTTTCTTTATCTTTTTCAATTAAATAATCAAATGATTTTAACCAAATTAGTTGAGTTTTTGGAATTATAAAATAATTATTGTATAGCAAATATTTTAATACTGAGATAATTGTTAGGTTTGTATTATTTGGTGGAATTGCTAATTATTAAAGTTATTAATTAATTAAATAATAATATTTTTTTTTAATGATTATTTATATATAATTAAATAAAACCTACCATTTTCATACATAATAAATTCATATAGTTCATCATAGTTCATCATATCAAAATTCATCATTACATCATTATTATTATTGTGATGATAATAATAATTCTTATAATTAATAAATTTTCTATTAATTAATACTGAATTATTTTTACTAGTTATTATTTTATTAGATAATATAATTATGATAAATATTATTAATACTGAATAATATTTTGATAATGTATTTTCTTCTGCTGATAAGCTGATAAATCCATGCCAAATAATATTTCTAAGATTCATTGAATTAGGCGGTCCAATCAAGCATTTCAATATTAATAAAATATTATCTCCTTTACAGCCTTTTATTATTGATTCCAATTCTGCAGAATTTAATAAATCCTTTACCAATAAATAGTTTTTTTTGTTGTCACACATTGTATGAATTAAATCTCTTAAAATTCTTTCTAAAGTTGTAATAATTAATAATAATGATGTATAGTATTCTTTATTTATATATAGTTTGACACATAGTTCAATCACCTAAAATATTAATACATGAGCATTAAATTAAATTAAATATGTAGTTAACATTTATTCATATCATACTTACATAACCGTAACCACACCACTCTAGTTCTTTATTAAATAATTCATTAAATTTTTTAAAATTTTTAATTTTATAATCAAAATGGTCACTAATCTTGATTGATAATTTTTTGATTTTTTTCGATAATAATAAAAAATCTTTATCAACTAAATGATCTTCTTTTTCTCCTTTTTCATTGTTATTCATACATAAATCTTCATCAATTAATGTCAATAAAGTTTCATTTTTTTCAGCTTCATCTTTATTATAATCCTCATCTTTGAAAAATAACAATTCTTTAACTTTATCACTTAAACAACTTTCTTGTTCATTTAATATTTTATTTACTTGATCTCTATCAAATGATAAATTACTACTATTTTTAAAAGATTTCGCCAATAGAAAATTATTTATTAAAATAATGTTGTTATTACACATTTGTATATATTATTATTGTTATATGGAGGTAAGTTTTCTAGCAGCATTGATAAAAAATCTGATCATTGGCTATTTATTGTATCACAAAAATCAAGTGAAATTAAACAGCATAGTTAAAAATCCTTTTATGGATAGATCTGCGTTACACACATTTAATAGACTTTTCAAAAAAAGATCTACAATTTATATGTAAAGAGTATTGTAAAATCGAAAAAGTACCACTTAGAAAAGTGGCGCTGCACACACTAACCAACACCATTTCAAAACTTTGCAAAATAATTCTATTTTTATTTTTACTTTAAGATCAGGTTTGAGCTTACTCAGATCAAGTTTGAGTTTTGACTTTTATTAGTACCAAAGTTTACCATAAATTTCATTTATTTCGGTCATAACATCCAAATTTGTTGATGATCTACATGCTCAAATGCGCGTCAAAAAATCAAAATAAGTCTCACTTTTTATTTCATTATTAATAAAAATGAACAAAAGTACAAAAAGAAATTTTGGTCCTTGCATAGTATGTGGCAATCAAGAACCTAATAAAACTTATAGAAAGATTAATGCACAAAATATTTTAAAAATAAGTCAAAGTCCTAATATTGAAAATATAAATTTTCAAGTTGATGACCAATTGTGTCAAAAGCATCACAATGAATTAATTAATTATGATCGTAATAATAACCCCAAACTTGGACAAAAGCAAAAAAGTAATAAAGATAAAAGTTATCATCAAGGTGGAACATATCCAAAACATGCTTGTTTGACCCAAGAAAAATATGAAAATTTAATTGAAAAAATAGATGAATTGCAAGAGCATACAAATAAATTAGAAATTGAATTAGAACAAGCATTAAGTTATATAATAATATATTATTAACAAATTATTTATAATTATTATTATTGCTAATTATTTTTTTTATTATTAGAAAAAGAAAATTTTGCAGAACTCTTTAATGATAAAATTAAACGTCTTACATCTGTATTATATGCTTTGCAACATAAAAAACACCAAAAGCCCATTACTGATCCTGAAGATTTTGTTAATTATATTGAATCAGAAGATATGGAATTAAAAGGATTTTTTGAAATTATATATCAATCAATCAACCCTGCTTCAAAAAATGAAGCTACAAAAAAACAAATAAAAACCAAAATTATGTTCATATGTTATCAACTAGCTGCAATTCGGAATAAACAAGTTAGTGATATTAAATCATCTATAGGACTATTTATGTTAGGGTGTGGTACATCTGCAATTGGAATTGATTCACTTGCTGGGATAGGTTTGAGTTCCACCTATCAAACTGTTTTTAACAGAATGAACATTATAATAAAGAATCATAACCCATCAGTAGAAGCTTATGTTAAATTAAATGTAAATGTATATAAAGATTAATAATACTTAAATATATATATTTTTATAATTTCCAATTAACTTTTTTTATATATTAGTGTCAAAATCTTTTGGTGTTAAACATTGATGACTACCATAATCTACATCAGTCAAGACTTCCAAGTACCACATCTATTTCTCAAATCTCACATATGGCAACACTACTCATTAATAAGATTGATGCTCCAACAATTCCAATTAGTTCATCTAATATACATAACCCAAATGGTGTTGAAGCAGGCTTACTAAAAAATTTACTAAGAATGAATTTCAATAATATTGTTTGTGAAAGCTATAATCAAAATAAAATGAAATGGATCTTTGTAACTGATATGATAGACTTAAATGAATATGACTTAATTGATTCATTGATTGTTCATTCTTATGATGCTGATTTAATAGAGACACATTCCAAATGTTCCTTTAAATTTACAAAGCTAATTGATTTCTTACCACAAAATTTAAAGAATGCTAATGATTATTTAAAATGTCTGGATATCTTTTTCAGGTTGAACTATTAGTTTTAAAAAAGAATTAATATTTTCATAAAATTAATATTTTATTTTTTATTTTTTATTTTTTTAGCTTTACTGAAATTCAAAATTATCTTGAGCATTCTATAATACCAGTTCCTGCAGATTTTCCAGGGCAGCTATATATTAGACACTCCATCATACAAAAACTCAAGCTCGATGAATTATCTCCAATACCAAGCATTGTCACTCATCTTGTGCCTTTTTTAGGTGCTTTACATGCTTCTCTTAATACTCGTGAAAGTTGCTTTTTGACATTTTGGAGTTTCTTCAATGAATTTTATAAGGCTGTATTTCAAAAAATAAAAAATTTGCCAGCTAAACCCAAGCCTTGGAAAATTAATATTTTGCTATATGTAGCTCATGCATCATGGAGAATAGTCAGGAAGCATGTTATTAAACGTTTTGATAAAAATAAGGATTTGGCATACTGCACTTTTTTTGATTTATT